TCAGTTGGCATCTGATTTAAATGATGCTTATGGCACGCAAAGCCAAGTTCATTTATTTTTATGGAAGTTATTAAACAGGAGATTATTCATGGAGCAGCTAATTTTGAGCAGTGTGAGTTCTTTTTTATTTGACTTTGTATTTCCCCCCTTAATACGGAAAAGAAAGGGTGCTGGTGGTGTCCAAAAATGTTTTTGTTGTTGTTGTTTGTTTATTGGTTTTAAGTTCTGGAATATGACAGGTGTTTTAGTGTACAGTTTATGATTGGGTCTAACATTCATTGCATGGAACTTCACACATTATCTGCCCATCAGGATTAGCACCCATTGATTAGAAAAGTGCTTGGGAGAGACTAGCTTTCATGTGAAAAATGTAATACTGTGGATTAAAAAGAGGGAAAATCTCTTGTCTCTTGAAATCACTTAAGTGTATTTTTGCAAAGCATAAAGGACTGCATTTTCCAAATGGCTAATGATTTTGATTAGAACTATTTCTTCCTGCCTAGAGATATTTCATAAGGACTGGTGTTAAAGAGGTGAGATATTTGGCATTTTGCCTAACTGATGCCCATTCAGTGGGTATCAGGTAAGTTATTTAGAAATGGAGGCACATAAAATTGGTATTAACTATGGAAAATAAAACTAATTATCCCTAAAGGGCTGCTTTTTTAGATTATTATTTTTTGGATTGTTTGTTTAGGAAGTGAGTAAGTTTGGTACACTTTTCTCATACAAAGTCAGCATTTTAGATTTCATTTCTTAGGTTCTACATGGGGTTTAAAGTTAGTAGCAGCTGAGAAGTTGGATCTATGGCCCCTCCCTAGTGAAAGAAAAGGAGATCCCAGAAACAAAGGAATGCCACAGTTTGATATACAGTCAGATGTTTTATTTTCTCAACCCCTTCATATTTCATCAAAAAAAGCGCCATTTCTTTCCTTTCCTTTAAAAAGAACTACTCGCATACATTTACCTCTGAATGTTATATTGTAATTCACTTTTTCTTTTTCGGTGAATTCTTAGTAGGCAGAATGAGTTCTACAGTTCCCTTCACTACTTCCTCTGAAAATTCCTGACATTAGTGATCCCATTGAGATGTCCAACATTCACACTAGGCAACAGGCAACTGGAAACATTATGATAATTTTTGTGTGTTAGAAATTTTTAATTTTTTTCTTGGCCAATTTTTTTAACAGGACTCTGTGATACTCTTTACCCTACCTGTGTGTGACCAAATATTTCAGTTGCAAACTCTTCAGAGCAAAGTTTATCTCCCTGTGCATTTTTTATACAACACCTAGCATGATGGAGCCACTGGTTTCCCTAAGCATTTTGTGAATATAACTTAAAATAATAAGAAATCGAAGGATGTCATAAGCAGTCCTTGCATTGTTGCAGGTACAAGTAATAGGACCTAACAAATTTAAAGATGTGTGATGGATATACTGTAGGTTGCCTGGATTTACCTTGACTCCCATCGCATTCACAAGGAAATTGTTCTGCATATATGCCCTGTTCCTGATGGCTGGTTGGTGATTTAGGTCTGTTCTTTGAGTAATTTCCTTACTACAATTGTTCTAGCCATCAAGCCTTTTGGCAGCTGTTGAAGGCCAGCTTCTTTTACTCATCAAACAATATTTTCTATTTCTGATAAGTGCATTAGATGCACTTACTGGTCTCCATTTTACGTCACCTATCATCACTACCACTGCCTTTGTCTAAAAGCTATCTAACTATAATTGGGAACATAAGCTCTGTTCTAGCTCTTCAGAGTTGTTAACACCATGTTACCCCCGTTAGCAGTCTGGGAGCCATGCACCAGATTTGTGTGTAGCTGGTTTTTTTCATCTACCTTACAAGTACACCAGACCTCTTTTTTAGTAACTTCTTGTCAGAGGGTGAAGCCTACCCACAAGCACCACTTAGATAAATTAGACTATGATTGCATCTGCCAGCTCTAACTGCTTAGATTAGTGTGGTATGTGCAGGAAAGAAACAAAAAATCAGGGATGATGGAGCTGTTAACAACTTTCCATTCTTGGAATATATTTAGGAGGGAGACCAGAGGGTAAGAGTAACCCTGGTAGCAACTGCTATTTGGACTTAGATATGGGGAAAGAAATTGTCCTGGGGCTACTTGGCTACAGAGGCCAATGGCTGCTGACAACCTAGTTTTAAAAAGCACTACTTAAGATGAAAACACCTCAGATGTGGGGAAGAAACTCCTCCCTTCAGGGACCTCTGACACCGAGTGGGGCCTGAGCACAAGGCAGAAGTGCCCTCATAGGGGCCAGACTGCTAGCCATGACTTGGACAGTTCAGCAATCAAAGCAAATGTCCAGTTCCCCTGAGTCCCTGCTACTGGTCTAAACTGGGCTGGAGGGCTGAGCTGTGGGAGTGAGAGGTGTGTGGATGTCACAGAATAGCTTTCCATCTCATGTACCCATTCTTCTTAATAAACAAATTTTATCTCTTTTATGTCATACTGAATAAACCTACCCCACTGCTGATAACAGAATGTGCTCACAACAAAATAACACATCAACAATGTAACATCACTAACAAAACATAAACAACGATCTAACAGTTAATTTTTTTTTAAAGAAATGAACAAGGGAGGGAAAATAATTTTTTTTTAGTATTATGGCTATGATCCCTTAGAAGTGTATTTCCTAGTAGTTTCTTAATTCAATTTATTTAATATTTAGTACAACATTTATTATTCTACCCTAGTAGTCCATCTGCCTGTGCATATCCATATTAAATAGGGACTGGATAAGAATACTTGCTATGAACTAGTCCCCATGGGTTAGAATAAAAGTGTTCTCTTTTCCCACATACCAGTTTACTAATTACCATCACTTTGAGCAGAAGAATGCTAAACCTGAGATTTAAGCCTTTCTCAGAATAATATTGTTCAAAAAAAAGTTGTTGATTTTTATTTTTTTTTTAAAAAAGAAATTCCTTAGTTGACTTCTTGCTGTTGCAGCTCCCTCTTGGTACTGTATGTCACGTATACCTAGGATAATTTGAACTAACTCAAATGCATTTACTGTGGTTTTATACCACTAGGACAGAACTATGATCATTTCATCGTATCATAAACTGTTCGAAAGTTAATGCAACCATATGGAGTTTATCACTTCAATCTGACTCAATCCCTTTGGAACATGGGTTAATATTTGGGGTGATTTCCATCTGTTTAGAGGATCAGTAATGCTGACCTCTCCCTTAGGACCTCTGTATACTACTTTTGCAGTGAAATGTGAAAAATCTCAACATGTTAACTGAGTTGTAAGAAATTAATCACCTCAGACCCAACTGCTGTACAGCTGTTTGTTTTCTTTCCTGGACTTAGCTCTGCGGCAATAATGTCCAATGGCTTTTAGTTAGTTTGGAATAAGTGCAAAGCAAGTTTGTATCTGTTGCAATACACCAGGTAGGCATTCTTTGTGTGAAACAGAGATAATGATGACGGTCTTGATGTAAGCTTAATTTATTTGAGGTTTTGAATGGCATAGATGGTTTAGACTCCATTCATCTATAGCAGTGGGACTAAAACTGGAATCAACTCTTATGTTTGATACGTCCTTCTCCTCCATGACATCTTTCTACTTTCATAAAATAATATTTCTGTGACTCTAGGTGGAACTTACGGCTATGGAGAACTATATTATTGTGTACCTTATTGTATGTTTTCTTTAGAAATTTACTCAATACTAAAAGATACTTCCAACTAAGTTTATCTTTAAAGATCTCTCTGTGCAGTGAGTGCACTCTTTATTGAAGATCTGTTTGCCCAGAAAAAACCTTCCTGTTTACACAATGATAAACAGATCTAACAATAGGATTATTGGCTCTCATCTTATTTCCGCTACTGCAGGTCAGAATTAATTTCACTGAAAACAGAATTGTATGGGTGTAGTGTTGGTATAAACGAGGTCAGAATCAAGTTCATGGTCACCATGGTTGGCTCCTTTGACATATTTTTCTTAAAGAGAGACGATTTCCATATTTTCCAGACGATCATGACTACCATGACAAGAAATATTAGCAAATGCTCAAAAACATTTGGAGGTCTTTTAAATAAAAATGTCTCAATCTGTTTGGCAGTTAGGTACCAGAAAATGAGAGAGCTACCTGATCATCTGAGCTAGTGACAGCATTGTGGATGAATGACAGAAACTGGGATGGATATTAATTTGACTTAAGACATTAAGATAAATATTTCATTTATTTGTAAGTCATTCTGGGTAGTAGCTGTGTGTATTCTAGGTTTCTATCAAGATTGTTTATTCATACCAGACCACAAGGCTGATCTGTGGATGGTGAAACACCAAAAAGGGCTCAAAATCCAGAAATCTTTGAGTTTTGTGTTATCAGAAAAGGTAAGACTGCAGACATCTGGAATTCAGAGGTGCTGTTGTCAACAGTACCTCATGTAGATAGCTCTCAAAGAATGGAAAGTCTTTCAAGCCATTAAGTAAAGATTTCAGTTTATTGCAGAAATGATGAAAACCAGATTACTATTTTTTTTTTCCTCAAACACTTTATCCATACTTGGAATCATGCATAGACAGCAATTTTATTATTAATAAATAGAATTCTATATTTCACTTGAGGAAGCACACATCCCAGTATACCGGCAAATGCCACAAGGTTGATGAATGAAGCCATAACTTCTCTATTCCCTTATCTAATATTTATGTTTAATAGTTGAAAACTGGAAATGATTCAGTGATAAAACTTGCATGGGCATATGTAATAAGAAATTGGAACATTTCAGTCTGAACAGTTTCCTATTTTTTCCACTAAACTACTGAATTTCTCCCACAACTTTGAAAAACCACAGGAGCCTCAGGTGGTCCACAATGTGCTTTGTTTGACTTATATGAGAAATTGGGACCACTGCTGTATGAAAAACAAAACAACTGTGGTGAAGGAGCGAAAATACCAAGGGTGTCAGATGTATCACCTCTAAAGAATCCTTTAAACATAAGGCTTACCTTTCCCACGTATTGAGTATCCGGACCTGTGTACTCCTCCAGCAAGAAAAATTGGTTCCACATCCAACCACGCTTGGTTCGGTGCAGAGTTTTTCCATCATTCTCTGACAATCCTGCTATCCTTTCACTGTGTGAGTGCTTGTTAGTCCTTTTTTCAGATGGCATCATATGAATCGCATGAAACATACAGCTCCAAAGCAAAACTGTCAAAAAGGAGTAAGTCCTCATCATTTACAGAGGTGCTGTTAGCCTCCACTCCTCTAATAATTCACCAGAAAAAAAAAATTCAAATGTTATATTCCTCTTGTAAGTAGGACCTAGGGGATGAAGAAAAGTGTTTGAGTAAGTTGCAAGATTTTTTTCCTTAAGGACATGGCCTTAGGGAAGCAAGAATACCAGTCACCTAGTGATCAGGACAATAACCCATGGAAATTACATATAAATGTAAAAATAAAGACCAGTTTCACGTTGGAACATTTTCTTGAGACAATTACATGTAAGAATTACTCAGTTTTAAGTCAAGTTCTTCAATAACTCCTTCATCTTTTTCTATTTCACTCTCTCCCACTGTATATAGGCATTAATTTAAAACACAATCTGAGTAAAATACTTCTTCATCAAAAACTGTAACTACCAGCAGCATCCTGACACAACAGAAGACCCCAAATAGTAAGAAACCTTCTAATGTAATCTTTCCCAGTTCAGCCTGATGTTATCCTCTTGTACTATCTCTTCAGAATTGTCTGCAAATCTTAATTTTCTGTTACTTCATGATTAATACAAGCCCATCTTCCCCTTTGCTAGTCCATAATTGTTCAGAGAATCCGCTTCTGCACAAAGGACCTCATAATATAAGATGAAATGTAAAGTATTCTTGATGCCTTCAACAGATTCCTTATTCAAGAAAGAAAAAGTACTTGTCAGATAAGTTTTGATAACCTGCTGGGGTTAACAAAATTCTGCATTTGGGACAAAATTGTGCATTTGGAATGTATCTAACATTTTCCGCTCATGAATGAATAGGAATTTTCACAATATAGAAACTTATTGTTATTATTATTTTTCTGAAACTGGCACTGATGTTTTATGTAGAAGTTTGCAAACAACATTTAATTAAAACCAAAGATTTTTTTTAAAACCCATAGTGTTTATTTGGCAGTACAACTGAGGTGCCTGGTGTCCCAGCCTTTCCATAACCTAGGTTTCCTGTCAAGCCTGATTTTGCTTCAGGATATCTTTAGCTGAGTTGTCATTGTATATTACAGAAAGCGTAGAAAAACACTTCAGCGGCAAAAATATCATTTGTTTTGGGAATCCTAGTCTGTGAACAGTGATAGTAGAATGAAAACACAACACCCAGAAATTTTAGAGTACTGAAGCTTTGAAATTTTATAAAAAGATACATAGCTATTCTCCTTTCTCCCACAACCCAACATTACCACCATTTACTTTCACTTTGTGTTTTTTTAGGGAAGGGGGAGTCTTCTTCTGTATAAAAAGATAAAAATTTTTGGAAATAAGATGCTTTTTGTGAAAATTATTAGTCAGTTGATAACCAAAACTGTTTAATGGAAAACATTCAGTGAATAGTACTCTAAAGGCCTTAATGATTAAATGATAGAATTGTGCCCTTGTGTGAAGTCTTCCTTAAAATTATGATATTCTGTATGGTCTCAGGATCTTGCTTAAAAATCCTGAAGGAGGATCAAAGTCTTAACATTTCAGTAACTTCAAACAGAGTTTTAGCTTAGCAAGAAGTGAAGGCTTGGAATATTTATCACTTTTTAACATCATGTTCAGAAAAAAAAAAAACAAAAAACAATTTAATTAGGTGTCAAATTTTTGCAGATCATGGATATAATGTAGGAAAACTCTTAATTTCTTTTACTTCTTTATTTTAACTGAAGAATCAAAGCACAAAATATATTAACTCTATTTGCATAAAATCGTGATTGTACATCGATCTTGGCATACATTAGTGGATGTATTTTCTTTGAATTCTGTAGGTATACTCAAGATCTTTTTTTGTCCCTTGTAATGCTCAGTATGTTCCTGTTTCATGCAGAGGGGCAAAGGGGAACTCTCCTGTGATTAATTTAACACCAGTAAATTTTGACATTAACTGGAAAACACGTTGTGTACATGATGATCTTGCTTTGTGATTGAAACTGGATATACATCGAAAGGAAAAATAAACAACTCACCCAATCTTTATCCATGTCTAAATCTGATGATTCTGGTTCCCTGTATAATATAGACTGAAGTAGGTTTTAGCACTGAATAAAACTATTTATCAATATAGAGCATAAGACGTGATCATCCAGATCCTTAAATCCAGCCCACTGCACCATCTGAGGCAGATTGCAGGGACTCTTCAGACTTTATAAATTAGATCCTGGTTAAGGTATTGCAAAATGAAAGTAAACAGCAACAGGAACTACTTTTGAAAATGCTGTACTTAAAAGGCAGATTATCAAGATTGTCTTGATAATGGTTCTGAAGTCTCTTATCTCTTCTTGAGATACTCTTGCTTGATGTGTCCTCAAATACTGCTCTTTCACAGATGTATTATGGCACTATTTGGTAAAATTTTAGCACATAGTGAATCTATGGAACTACAAAAAAATCCTAAAAATATGTTTTACAAAACCTCTAAGCATTGGAAGATGGCTGTGAAAAATGCTATCCAAAAATGTCAAACTGTAAAATTTCTCTTCAAAATGTCATTATTTCAAAACTTAAAAAAAAATAACACTCAAATGATTTGGTCTTGTTTATTTTTACTTTTTCTTGAAACAGGGGGAAGGATAGAGTACATCAATATATTTTCATGCAGCCATTTGGAGATGTGTGATTATGTGTTCAGTTTTGTGATAATTTCAAATAGAAAAAAAATCAAAATTCAAATTTCAAATGCTTCACTTTTGCTTTTTCAAAACTATACATTTTTAATTTCCTGAAATTGACCTCATTCCTTTCTGTTCAAACACTATTTGCCATACCCATTCAAATGCATAAGATGTTTATACTACTCTTTTCTTTGTACTCAAAGACATACTGCAAGGTGGCCATTACCTTATGCATCTTGTCTCATAGTCAGCTGTTCAAGTGGGTCAGGAGTTGCATCTGCTAGACTCAGAAGTTGTATTTTAATACTGAAACAAAGGATTCTGGTGTAGTATGGAAAAGTAAAAGCAGCTTTCAAGGGACCACAATGCACTGTGCACAGATGCTCTGAGCCTGCTGGCCTGCTATAAGAATTTTTTTCTGTACAAACACCAATTTTTTAATAGAGTTTTTTCTCTGAGGAATCTAGGTTCCCATATTTTGTTCCAGCCAGGGCAGAACATAATAAGAGTGTTTAAAATGTGTTGTTTTCTGTGTAGGGCTGCCCTCTACTGATTTCCTTGCTAATTAACAGAAAGACTTTACTACTAAGAGGAAAGGCAATACCCTTCATGACAAGAAGGTAAGAGTCGGTTTTTTGAATGACAGAAAAAAAGAAAAAAAAAGAAAAGAAAAAAGACATAGGCCACTATTTCCCACTTTTAATTTTTACAATAGTTGGACTTACAAGGTGTAAAGAGAGAGTTATCAATCTGGATCAGTCTGGATCTACTGAACATTATGGTAAACATCTAATTGGATTTCTTCTAAGATTAGGAAAGATCTTAAGCCTGAAACCAGAGAGAAGAATTTTAATGGGTTTTGTTCTAAGTAACTGAAGAAAATTATATATGCAATCTTTCCTGCTTTATTTCTGCTTCCACCATTTACTCAGTACAACTGTCAACTTACTGCTCTTGTCGGACAATGGAAAACAGTTTTCTTCTTAGTTGCACTGGAAACCTCTTTTAAGATAAGGTATTCATTTATTAAACATTTTAATGCCCAAACTGTGGAGAACCTGCATTCTTTCCCCACTTTGCAAATCAGAGGATCTGAGTGGAGGCAATATTTTTTTTTTTATTTTTACCGCTTGAGAGGTCTGTTGTGGTAGCCTAGAAACATTACAGTCTCTCCTTGCAGAAAGGACTCTGATATCAGAATCCTACAACACTTCCAGGTAAATGAATTATCTCTGTATGAAAGACATTATTCTCCTGAGCACATTAGCAACTGGAAAAATGTATCTTTTAAACTCCTTTTGCATGTAAAATATTCTATTTAGATTCTTCAGGTGTAGTGTGAAATAAGCCCTGCTGGGATCAATAGCAGGGATTTGTTAGCAATGATGCCAATTTAAATGTTTCTATAGCAATTGCCATGGCAATGTTTTTAATTAGTGTAGCACAGTCACTCACAAGCATGACATGAAGAAAGGCTAACCTTCGGCAACTTGATAATGTATCCCACATTAGGTTGTTTCATTTGTTAATAGTGAAGTAAAATTCTGTTCTAAAAGAAAAAGGCTGTAGTGCTTGTGTAGAGCTAAAAATAGCAGAGTTTACTGCAGCAGCAGTGCTTCATATTGTGCTCACCGGTCTTTAAATAGGAAGGATGCAACTGATGTTCAGGATGATCCAAACAATCTGTAAAGCTAAAATATGTATTTTAACAGGATATAACAAGTATAAATCTTGTGTAGCCTGGGTGCGTGGAAGCAGTCTCATTGACTTTGGCTGTGTTTCTTTTGAAAACAAAATATCTGAATGTAGCTTTAATTTACCTAGCCTCAATACTAAGAACAGTGAAGCTGTAGCAATAAAAGGTTGTGCTATAAACTGCACACTGCCACTGATTATACCAAGACTTAGGTAGAGCCTAGGTCTGTGCCCCTGTAGGTTGATTTTTATTACTCCCCTAACTGATTAAAGATAGTCAGGGTATGCATACACATGCTTCCCTCTGACTGCAGCACTCAAATATTCTCTAAGTGCAGTCATCCTACAAACATGAATACAGACTGTGGATGTATCATTCACAGCTGACTTTCAAAAAGCAAGCTCCTTTTGTTTTCATCTTTCTAACTTTTTCCTTCCCTCTCCCCTCTTCATAGGTAAAGACGGGGTTGGGGAATGAAAAGAAAACAGCCAATGTACATCTTGACTGACCTTCCGTACTGAACCTGGGAGAATCAAGAAAGACTCTTCTTATATTTCTATGAGACCTGAATTAGCTTTTGAGGGATCGCCAAAATTTAAGGGACAGATTTTTGACTGATGAACATCCATTCCTTGAGTACCAGTACTCAGATCCTATTCAGGCACAGAAACATGGGCCGCACT